TAGAGAATATCTGCCACCAAGAGCAATGTGATATTTGGAGATTGTAAACAAGACACTTTAAACCATACCCAGACTGAGAACGAGAAAAGGACTTTTTCACTTCTCTATTTAATGGACTAGATAGGATCTTCCTATTGAGAGGCGGGGGTGGGGGGTGGGGGGGTGAGGATAAAGGGGCTTAGATATTTGGTACTATCGAAAGGCAGAGACTGTGAATGCTGGAAGACAATATTAAGGCTGTTATTTTAATGAATTAAAATTCCTCAGAAGGTTTGCATAGATAATAATGTCTGAGGCTGAGCTTAAGACACCCTTCTGGGATTAAAACCAAACAAACAAAAACCAGAGCTGTTGGACCCTGAGCAAGCCTGAGGACTGGAAACAGTTTTCATTATAAGATGACATTTAGAATGAGTTGAAAAGGAAAAGTCAAGCACCAGTGAGTTATATATCAAAGTGTGCTCAGGGATTAAGTGCCTCCACATTTTTTTTTTTCTATTTGAAACTAATGATTGAGTTATGGTATTTAAATTCAGTGGCTACCATCAACTTAATATTATGGTTGAAAAATAAGGTATACAACTAAAATAGGATTTTAATTTACTTATTTACCAATCAAAACAATGGGACAGAATATGAGTAGATAGTTCATAGGAAAGGAAATTCAAACAGGCTTTAAACATATGCAAAGATGCTTGACCTGACTCTTAATAAGAGAAATGGAAGTTAAAGTCACCATGAGATATCAAGATTCATCTATCAGATTGGCAAAAGGTTTGAGAGCACACTGTGTCAGCTAAGGTAAGAAAAAAATACATGAGTGGCAGTAATGCAAACTAGTACAATCTCTGAAAGGGGTGTTTGGGTGATATGAAGCAAATTATAAACTTGCATACTCTGACCAAGCAATTGCACATTTAAGAATTTATCCCACAAACATATACGAAGTAGATAAATGTATAAAAGCATATTCACTGCAGTTATTGCTTGCAGTAGCAGAAAAGATGAAGAACCACCATGCCCATGGATAGGAAGATTGCATAAATAAACTATGCTATCTATGCTCATGTAACAGAATACTATGTAGCCATTAAAGAGAATGAAGAAGCTCTTATGTTTTCTTTCTTTTTTTTTTTTAATTGGGGTATAGTTGCTTTACAATGTTGTGTTACTTTCTGCTGTACAATGAAGTGAATCAGCTATAGGTATACATATATCCCCTCCCTCATGGACCTCCCTCCCCTCCCCTGCATCCCACCCATCTCCTTCACCACAGAGTCCCCAGCTGAGCTCCCTGCACTATACTGCAGGTTCCCACTAGCTATCTGTTTTACACATGGTACTGTATATATGTTAATCCCAATCTCCCAATTCATCCCATTCCCCTTTGCCCCCAGCTCCGGGTCCACACGTCCATTCTCTACATCTGCATCTCTATTCCTGCCCTGCAGATAGGTTCATCTGTACCATTTTTCTAGGTTCCATATATATGTGTTAATATATTTGTTTTTCTCTTTCCGACTTACTTTACTCTGTATGACAGACGCTAAGTCCATCCATGTTTCTGCAAAAGGACCCAATTTCGTTCCTTTTTATGGCTAATATTCCATTGTATATCTCTACCACATCTTCTTTATCCATTCCTCTTTTGGTGGACATTTAGGTTGCTTCCATGACCTGGCTATTGTGAATAGAGCTGTAATGAATATTGGGGTGCATGTGTCTTTTTGAATTATGTTTTTCTCAGGGTATATGCCCAGTAGTGGGATTGCTGGGTCATATGGTAGTTCTATTTTTAGTTTTTTAAGGAACCTCCATACTGTTCTCCATAGTAGCTGTATCAATTTACAAAGCCCATCTCCAAAATGTGCTCAGTGAAAAACCAAATTGCACTCCTGTATGTTTAGTCTGCAACTGTTGTGTAACATTGGTAATAATGTCAGTAATAGTAAATGTATACATTTGTATATGCATAGACTCTCTCTTTGGGAGGATGTACCAGACCAGTTAATAATAGTTGCCTCTAGGGAAAGGAACTAGGTATCTAGGAGAGACTTACTTTTACTCTCTACCACTTCTTTCCTTTTCCATGTACAAGTATCACCTATCCAAATATAACTCAATAATGTTTTATTTTTTATTTTTATTATTATTTTTTTTTTGCGGTACGCGGGCCTCTCACTGTTGTGGCCTCTCCCGTTGCGGAGCACAGGCTCCGGACGCGCAGGCTCACCGGCCACGGCTCATGGGCCCAGCCGCTCTGCGGCATGTGGGATCTTCCCGGACCGGGGCACAAACCCGTGTCCCCTGCATCGGCAGGCGGACTCTCAACCACTGCACCACCAGGGAAGCCCAATAATGTTTTATTTTTTAAGAGAAGAAAAAATTGTACAATATATGTAGACATTTGAAAAGGAGCTTTCATCTAATTCATGAGAAAACTGTATTCTGTAGTTTCAAGTCAACTGGAAGCAGCATACGCATTATTTTTTTCATTAATTAAAAAAAAAAAAAGACTTTTCTAGAGCAATTTTCGGTTTAGGGCAAAATTGAGCAGGGTACAACCTCCCCCATTACCAACATCCCCCACCAGAGTGGAACATTTGTTATAAGTGAGGAACCTATGCTGAGACATCATTATCACCCAAAGTCCACAATTTACATAAGGGCTCACTCTTGGTGTGGGACATACTATGAATTTTAACAAATATATACTGACACGTATCCACCATTATAATATTGTTTCACCACCCTAAATATCCTCTGTACTCCACCAATTCATCCCTCTCTCCCTCCAACCCTCAACAGTCACTGATCTTTTTCCTGTCTCTATAGTTTTGTCTTTCCAAGAGTGTCATATAGTTGGAATCATACAGTGTGTAGCCTTTTCAGATTTGCTTCTTTCACTTAGCAATATGCTTTTCAGCTCCTTCCATGTCTTTTCATGGCTTGATAACTCATTTCTTTTTAGTGCTGAATAATACTCCACTGTCTGGATGTACCACAGTTTATTTATCCCATTCACCTTCTGAAGGACATCTTCTTGCTTCCAAGTTTTAGCAGTTATGAATAAAGCTGCTATAAACATCTGCATGCAGGTTTTTTTTTGTGGACATGCTTTCAACTTCTTTGTGTAAATACCAAGGAGTATGATTGCTGGATCCTATGATAAGAGTATGTTTAGTTTTGTAAGAAGTTGCCAAACTGTCTTCCAAAGTGGCTGTACCATTTTGCATTCCCACAAGCAAAGAATAAGAGCTCCTGTTTCTCCACAACGTTGCCCGCCTCTGGTGGTGTCAGTGTTTCAGATTTTGGCCATTCTGATAGGTGTGCAGTGGTATCTCATTATTGTTTTAATTTGCATTTCCCTGATTACTTGCCATCTGTATATCTTTGGTGAAGTGTCCATTAAGGTTTTTGGCCCTTTTAAAAATCAGATTGTTCATTTTCTTACTGTTGAGTTTTAAGAGGTTTTTTTTTCCATATGTTGGGTAACAGTTTTTGTCTGATGTGTCTTTTGCAAACATTTTCTCCCAGTCTGTGTCTTGCACATTTTTTTGAAAAGAAGTGAATAAGTCACCTTTAAAGATCTAACCAGAAATTAGAACTATCAAATGGTCACATTACTTTATTAGTAAATGGATAAATCTTTATTAATTCCCTTTGTAACCAATTCTTTGTTGTCAGCACAGCCATGTTTCTAGCTGTTTTCCTTGAGCTCTTTGAAGTAAAAGAATCTAACGTGTAATGGACAAGTAAATGCAAATGCAGACTGGGATGTTGTGATATTTAAACTGCCCTTAGAATAAGAACGAATTTGTGTAAGGATTAAAAAGGGTTATTCTTCTGTAATTTGTAATCTCCCAATTACTTTGTGATGAATTTTGCCAGTAAGTTTTCCAAGAAATGCATGTTAAGAGAGAACAAATGAATCAGAATAATTTACTGTACCAGAGCAAATATTTCCATTTGAGAGAACTAATCACTTATTCCTTAAGTAACTCCTTAGAAAGTACTGTATATTATCTTCTCCTTATGTGTTCCTGACATGTACCCTTATTATATCACTCTAGAATCATTTAGTTTTCATATATAAAACAAAGAACCATGGAGTTCCTCATTGTAAGTCTAAATCGTCCCATCCTGGGTTGGCAGGACTCTGTCCGTCACCTAACACCACCATCCTTTTTGATCTTGAACTTTGATACTGTTCTACCTGCACACTGAATGCTACTTCGGCAACATTCTCTCTTAGGTCATGGTCCCACCTGTTAGCTTCTTGAGGCGAGTGTCCCCATGTGATTTATCTTTTTATTCCTCAGAAGATTTTGCCCCAGCTCAGCAGATATATTGAGCATGGATTTTTTTTAAGGTAGAAGACAGTCATTTTGACAAAATGGAAAGCATTTTCAGTTTGTACTGCATTCTGTGACAGATACCGGTGATACCCTTCCAAAAAGAGGAGAGAATTCTGCTATGGTTCTGGGCGGTGAAATGGCGATCTAGTTGTCAGAGAGGCCGCGGCAGCAGGTGGAAAAGGCACGGCCAGGTGTCCCTTGCTACCAGGCCAGGGTCTAGGACCCCCAAAACAAAAACACTTGAAAGCATTATGCCCAACTCTTCACTTAAATGACCGTGTTTAACTCCTTTACAGACAGGGGACAACCCCCACCCCTATTTCAGCAACAGGAGTAACAGGAGGAACATCCCTTACACTTTTGTTTCTAATGAAAAGAAAAACAATGGGGAGACAAGCTTTTTTTTTTTTTTTTTACAAAATTTCACTTTACGGAACAGTGTTTTTAACCACACATGTTGCGATGGCATTTACGTCCTAAAGGCCGCGGGTGATTGTATTAGAAATGCCACTTCCGGGCTTCCCTGGTGGCGCAGTGGTAGAGAGTCTGCCTGCCGATGCAGGGGACACAGGTGCCTGCCCCGGTCCGGGAAGATCCCACATGCCGCGGAGCGGCTGGGCCCGTGAGCCATGGCCGCTGAGCCTGCGCGTCCGGAGCCTGTGCTCCGCAACGGGAGAGGCCACAACGGTGAGAGGCCCACGTACCACAAAAAAAAAAAAAAAAAAAAAAAGAAATGCCACTTCCTGGGTAGTTGAGCAATTGGAGCTTCTGCAGGAACTTAACTGTTTCTGATGCTTTTACTCAACTTTCAACTTATCTGCAGGTCTGAAATTTTCATAATAAAAAGTTAGAGGCGAAAGGCAGTTTGTCTCCTGGAGAGAAATGTCACCAATGGCATTTAGAATAACATTTCCCCCTCTTTCCTGGCTTACAAGCATCTCTCAGCACCTTCCTGTGTGAGGTAAGTTAAGGATTTTGTCATCTTCTATTAATAGGGAGGGATTCTGAGTCACAGAAAGGCTAAGTGATTTTTCTAGCCCCAGAAATAAGAGGAATAAAATGAAGCAAGATGATTAGTACATTATTTTAGGAATAGGACTATTATGGTGGAGAGCATCATTTTCTTGAACAACTGCAATTGCTTCCTAACTGTTTTTCCTGCCCCCAATTTCTCTCTCCCCTCCAGTCTACTCACTCGCTTTGTTACCAGAACCATATTCGGAAATCATGCCACACCCCTGTATAAAAATCTGTGATGACTTCTCACTGCCTAAAGAAAAATTCCAAACTCCTTAGCAGGACGTCCAAAGCCCAGGTCCATGTGGCTTTAAACTACCTTTCCTCTTTCTTTGCCACTCTGTGCCATTTATAACCGCTCAACTGCTCTCTGGTTCTCACGCACGTCCGTCCATGCCTCCAAACCTTCGCTCACGCCATCTGGCTCTCTTACCCAGAAGACCTTTCTTCTTCTATCCTTCTGGGACCATGGAGAGGGGGGAATCTGCTTACCCACGGGGATCTGACTCGAATATTGTCTTCTCTGGGACACTTACCAACACCCAGGGTCAATGGACCCATTTCCTCCTCTTGTTCCCATTGTACATTTTTTCTATTGCAATTACTATATTTAGTTTCTTACATTCTAGGAACCTGGGCATGTGTCTAACCTCCCCAATCAGACTTCTTTTTTGTGACAGCAGGGTCTGACTCTTACTGATTTCCATATGCTCCAGCAATCACTTCAGATCTAGACACACGACAGTGTTCGACGCAAGCCTTGATGCTGTTGTCAAGAGAAACCCTCTTTTAGGCAAAACCACAGGCAGATCTGGGTACCGTTTCAGCCCCCTGAAAGAAATCAGAGCTCGTGCCAGTTCAAGAGTTGAGGTGACAAGGACAAGCAGATTAGTTATGTCTGAGGTTGCATTTTTCTGTAACGAAGTTCTGATATTTGCGGATAAAGTGTACTATTTGATTCATCTTTCCAGGTAACCTACAAGAAAATTTCTATACTTTGTGGACCAGAGCTGGTGGGTGAGGAACCTGGCTGTCCAGGCTATTAGGAACTTCTCAAAGTGTGGTCCATCTGTAAGAGCCACTATTGGCTGCTGGACTAAAAGGCAATTACCTGGGTCCCTCTCTAGACCTCAATCAGGGTCCCTGAGTGGGAGTCTGGAGTGTGGGCCACAGGCAAGTACCTCCAGCTGTTTCTAAACATTTATTTTGAGACCCACTGGTCTGGCTGGAAACCTCTCCCTAGGCAAGCGGAATGAGTGTTGTGAATCCTTCTAAGGCAGAGGTTCTCAGCCCAGGTTGCGTATTGGAATTCCCTGGGGAACTTTTGAAACATATCGATGTCTCGGACCCAGATATCATTTAAATCAGACTTACTGGAGCTGGGATTTGAGCATCCATATTTTTCAAATGCTTTGCTTCTGAGCCAAGGTGGATGTTGGATAAATGTCAGATTCTTTGGATAAAAATCAGAGGCTTCTAGTGGTTAGAGACCCCAGATTTAGGTCACACGCTTCACTGCACCCCACCTCACTCTCACTATAAAAGTAAATCTCATACCAAATTTAACCAGATACACACACACACAAATGTTTCAGCAAGTACGTACAGTCATCCAAACTGAGTCCTTCTCTCCACCTCAGTATTTTGATGAACAGCACCTTGCATGAGAGGCCCATGCTGAAGGAAAGGCAGCAACATTCCAAAATAAAACCCAGCAGGGGGTGTAGTCTCACAGGGCAGGGGGCAGGGTCCTAGGTGAAGTGGAGGGTCACAGGCTCCAGTGCTGGAGGCTGCATGGTTACCTATGCAGGTGGTCTGGCTGCCCGCTTATATCTTGGTCATACAAGATCCACGGGTCCTGTCACACCTCTCCTAACAAGACACATCGCAAGCGCCACCAATTTCAGCAACAGATATAACTTTTTAACACCTTTTATGCAAATTAAAAAAAACCCTCACAGGTCACTGAGTCTAAGGTATTGGTTCATATTAGAGGATGTCACAGCTAATTCTCCATCTTTAAAGCATTAGAGTACTACAGTAGCTATACTGAATTACTTAAAGTAAATTACCATACAGACACTATAACAAAAGGGCAGAGAAATCCCCATTATAAAGGCTTTTTCCCTGGGAAACTGGTTAGGCGAGGGGGATGGATTGGGGGAGGGGGCGGGGCATGACCTGGCAAGGCTTTAGACTTTTGGTAAAGAATCTAAAACTTCTGATGGCTCCAGAAAAACCTGAAATTTGTCAGACATTTAATAAAAATAACCTTGGAATCATGCATGTGCAAAAAATTACTATAGAAACTGAGCTGAGCAGGTGGCCCGTTTACTTAAGGCTAGGTATGCTTCTACCATGTGGCCTTTAGCAGAGCACTCTTGCTAGGCAAGACGTCAGAGGAAGGAAGGAACTTTCCAGAGGAGATTTCTTAGTTGCAGGAGGCCTTAAAAGCTTGAGTATATCAATGCGTGCTCCCATCAGCGACAACAAACCCAGATCACTGAGGATGGTTACATCGCTTGGGCCAGTAGACTTCCAATTCACCTCCTGCAGACTGTGCAAGCTATTGCACAGTGCAAGGAAGGGCTGTGAGCCAGCAGTGATGGAGGAGGAAAGTGCCTGCTGCTTCAGCAAGTCAGTCCTAGACTGCTGGGAAGTCCCTCCAAGACAACCAATGTCCCCAAGGTCCCCAATCTATCCAGATCTCTCAGCACACTGAGATCTGGGCTGCTTATATCAGCAACTAAGAGGGGTGGTAAAGCAATTGACTCTGTTCTTTAGCATTTTTCTTTCAGAATTTTGCACTGATTTTTTTTTCTATTCCTAAGAACAAAACTGGCACTGTAGTGTTTTTCATTATATAATCCCTTTTCAGCAAGGTCAGTAAACATTTATCAAGATCTGTGTGTGTGTGTGTGTGTGTGCGCGGGGTGTGTGTGTTAATAATAAAAACAGGTAACTGCCAATGAATTAGTATTGTTTCAGGACTGTTCCTACCCCTTTACAAATGTAACTCATTTATCACAACAGTCCTGTGATATACTATCCCCACTTTACAGATAAGGAAACTGAGGTATATGGCGATTATGCGATTTCCTTCAGAGTCACACTCTAGAAAGGTTTAGAATCCAGATTGGTCTGACTCTAGAACTCCCAGGCTTGACCAGCAAGATAAAACTGAACAAATAATGTAGATGCTGCTATTTAATAATAGGTTGCATGAAGTCACTCTTATCAGGTAGGGAGCAGCGGGTACTAAAGAGGTTTTGAAGGGACTGAGATATTTAGATTCCAGTGTAATTACCTGATATTTGAGCCCAGCCCTCCCCACTATAAAATTGTGGTAATAGTATACCTGCTATGCAGAATTATCACCGTAATTAGACTGAACACGCGCAAAGCTTGGTGTTGAATAAATTGTAGCTTTCTGTTGTTATTTTCATGGTATACCCAAATATAGCTTTTGTAATTAACCCACCAAATGCCCTAAAGCAGTACTGCTTAGACTGGGGTTTGGAAGCTCCTGGGGTTCCACAAATATATTCCTGAGGAATCTGTGAGTTCTTACGTTTGATAAACGGAGTGAAAGCATTCCTTGCATTGTGGACACACAGTCATTTCTACTGATTGCTGAGGCAAAAATAGGCTGGCAGGAAATAATTCCTACTTAGAAAAATAATTAGTTCTCTTACACAACAGCTACCTGTGCTGCTCACACCTGCATAAATAAAGGAACACAAGATGAGGAGAAATGTCACCCGAGGAAACATGGCCCATACAAGGAGGCACAGGGCAAATCAACTGCACGTAGATGCAGCATGGCCAATGCCCAGGATGCTGCACACATGAGGCCCCATGACACGACCAGGGAAGGTTCCTGAAAGATGAATACATAGAGTCCCTCACCTTCCCTGAAGGAAATGTTAGCCTAATTTCCCACCAAGGATCCTCACTGGGGCTTTGGAAATAGTACAATGGGAAGCAAGGTGCTGTCATTCCTTTTCCAAAACAAAAAGCAAACCAGAAAAGTCTAACAGTAAGTGAACTTGGCTATACTGCAGACGCAGAGGTGCCAACCTCCTGATGATTTCTTACACATACATTTACACATGCCTTTACTTTCCTACTTTGTGAAAATAAAAGAGAAGAGGGAAGAATGAAGGAATGTTTTCCCATGGGAAGGAAAAGGATTCAAAAGCATCTGAAAGAAGAAATCAACACTGCTAGCTGTAAGTGAATTTCCTTACTAGAGACTAACTTCCAAAGAATATTCTTGATAGAGTCTCTATGGGATCCTGAATGTACACTAATAGGTATTCCATCAGGGGAGGGGAAACAGAAACCCAAGAAAGCTGATGAAGACCTAATTTTTAAAAAACTTCGATTGGGGTCAAGGTCTGAATTTCACAGTAGTTCATATTTTTCTTCAGGTTGTATAATTCCGGCAAGGTGTGAAAGTGCCACCTCTTTTACAGGAAAGCTCTGACCACTCCCTCCATGTGACTGTGGGTGTGACTCTGGAACTGCTGCTGTCTAGCTGCCTGTTAGTCCCCGTGTAAGCTTACCTGCCTTTCCTTCCACGGCTGCATTGTTTGGGGACATTGTTACCATTGTTACCCGCCTTCAATAAGCTCCCTGCAGCTGACCCTGGGGCAAGCTGCATGAAGCTGCAACACCAGAAGCAGTTTGATGGCAAACAAGGATCTACAGTCATGTTATTTTAATTTGCAGCTCACATTTGAAGCTCCCTGTGGTTTTTTCCATGCACAGCGCATGACTGTATATTACCTTGGTTTCCTATTGTCAGTCCTTTGGACCTCTTGGGTTCCACAGTGCCTACCGGTCTGACATAAGTTGCTGTCTTTTCAAGGCACCTGTCAAGAAAGCACAACAGAGTTTTGTGAACCCCATATGCCGTTTATTTAAAGTCAGACTATTTCGAACATATTTCTCAAATGCAGTTGAATTGTGTTCTGAGGTTTAGCTGTCCTGAAACTCACCGACTGTCACTTTTTTTTTTCAATTTTTATTGGAATATAGTTGATTTACAATGTTGTGTTAGGTTCAGGTGTACAGCAAAGTGAATCAGTTATACATATACATATATATACTCTTTTTTTTAGATTCTTTTCCCAAATAGGTCATTACAGAGTATTGAGTAGAGTTCCCTGCGCTATACAGTAGGTCCTTATTAGTTGCCTATTTTATATATAGAAGTGTGTGTGTGTCAATCCCAATCTCCCAATTTATTCCTCCCGCACTTACCCCCTGGTAACCATAAGTTTGTTTTCTACATCTGTTACTCTACTTCTGTTTTGTAAATAAGTTCATTGGTACGCTTTTTTTAAGATTCCACATATAAGTGATATCATATGATATTTGTCTTTCTCTGTCTGACTTCACTCCACTGTCACTTTGAGGGCCTCCCTGGGACCTCTAAAAAACCTGAATCCTGGATATGCCACAGAGTCCATTTTAGGGACTTCCCTGGTGGCACAGTGGTTAAGAATCCACCTGTCATTGCAGGGGACACGGGTTCGATCCCTGGTACATGCCACATGCCGTGGAGCAACTAAGCCTGTGTGCCACAACTACTGAGCCTTCACTCTAGAGCCGGCGAGCCACAACTACTGAGCCCACGCACCACAACTACTGAAGCCTGTGCACCTAGAGCCCGTGCTCCGCAACAAGAGAAACCACCGCAATGAGAAGCCCATGCACCGCAACGAAGAGTAGCCCCCACTCGCTGCAACTAGAGAAAGCCCGCGTGCAGCAAGTAAGACCCAACACAGCCAAAAATAAAAAAACATATAAAAAAACAAAGACTCCATTTTTAAGTCAGATCTTCCAAAACACACTCTCCCTATTAGTGAAAATCTGTTTAACTATTTTCACATGATGTGTTAATTAATGTCATTATATTCATAGAGATTACTCCAAGATTAAAGGTCATACTAACCCTTTCAGGTCTCATCAATCGCAAGTGTTCTCAAATGCAGGAAAATTCCTGCAAAGTTGGAATGCTTCTCCAATAACCAAGCAAACATTTATAACTGAAAGATTTTCTTTTAAGGAACTTTCCAGGGGGAAACACCAGGAAGAATTCAAGCACGAGTGCTCATTGCACGCACACACTATCACTCAGAGAGACAGTAGGATCTATGAAATTGTTTCTGTGCACTTATGAAAATGGATCAGAGATGACCTGCTGTACTCTCCAACCTTTAAACATAGTTCTCTACATGTGACTGATACCCTAGGCAGGGAACTGAGGCCTCTGGAAGTAAGGAAGTCTGTGGCTCTTATAGTCACTAGAGCTCTCCTGAGAAAGCTTTTCCTGGGGGCCCCGGCAACAGGGCCAGGATGATGAGATTCAAAGCAGGATTACCAGCAACAGCGAGTCAGTTTTATGCAGAAATGAAGCAATGAGTTTAAAAACCGTTGAATACCTACTTTGTGCCCTTTGTGTGTCATCTTGGCTGTCTCTATCCTCGCAGTCCTTTGAGGCAGGTGTAACTATTCCCCATTTTACATACTGCTGAATTCCTTTCCTTGCCTTATTTTCCTCCACAGCACTTTTCCTTTCTAATATACTGTATAATTATTTATTTTGTTCATTGTCTCTTGTTACTAGAATATAAGCTCCAGGAGGGCAGGGTTCTTGTCTGTTTTATTCACTGCTGCTTTCCTGGTAGCTAGAGTAAATGAGTGAGTGAGTGAATGAGCGAATGAATGAATGAATGAATGGAGGCCCGGAGAGGTTAAGTGACTTTCCCCTATCTAAATACTAGTTAGAGACAGAGCTAAGATTTGAACTCAGGCCCATGTGCTACACTGAGACACATCAGTAATGGTAGATGCGAGGATTACCATCTAAGACATACTCTAAGAAAGAAAACTGTATGGGCATTTATTGAATGGTTGACTAATGAAAAGGTGCATACAGTCAAAGAAAACCGCCAGATGTAAAAGGAGCAGGAAGGAAATGAGCCTAACTTTTGATCCTTGACATCTGTGGGGAAGGAGCAACATAATTTGTGAAGCCCGGAAATGCCTGGTGGTCAAAATTCAAAGTGCAGACCTTGAATCCTTCAAATTTCAGCAGCAACAGCAGAGCGTGGTGGGCGCGGTCTCCACAACACCCTGTAATATGGGTATGTGGTAGTCCTTGAGGCTCTGTGAAGAGTCAGGCTTCAAATCCTGACCCCATCGTTGGCTCCTGTGTGACCTCAGGCAAATTCCTTAATCTCTGTAAATGAGGATAATTTGCATGGGTTTTCTGAAGACTGACGGAAATATGCATGTAAACACAGAAATCAAGACCATGCCCACCAGGTGGTAAATACCCACTACATATGACTTCTATTATATCAGCTTAGTGTACAGAGTGTTTAAGAGGGGACCAGTAGGGAGAAGTTAGAAGGGTAGCTGGGTATATTCGGTATTTAACTGTGTTAAAGGATTTTGATCGTGGTCTGTAACAGCACCTGCTTTGCTTGACAGCTAAATTGGCATGGATTTAACTGCTTAGTGCAGTTCTTCAGAGGATTTCTTCTTAGACTAGGGAATTTCAGGCGGGCTGTTAGGCATCAAAGGGCGTCTTTGGGATTGAAAGGACGGGGGCCATTCTGCAGGTTCAGAATTCAGAAAGATAAAAATAATATTAACAGTTAATGACACACCAACAACGTCTTAGGGCATCTCACTTTACCCATTCAGTCATCACAGCGATTCTGTCATTTTCCGTATGCCAGCGTGGAAGGCTACGGTTTAAAAGAGTTAGACGATGTAATCAAGGTCGCACATTTAGGAAGGGGTGAGGGCACAATTCAAACCCAGGCCGCCCCACTCCAGAGGCCCTTTCTTTATACCGCACGTTTTAGGACCAAGAGGTCTGAATGCCATTTTATCCAGTGTCCTGAGAAGGACTGAGGGTTCAGAAGCACGGGTAAAGCTAAATGTTTCAGGTTTGAGAAGTGTTGCAACCATCCTTCCAAACTGATGCCCAGGCTCAGGTATCAGCACTTTAAAAATAGCTAAGTGGAAAACAATTTCCCTTCTTGCATTTTCTGTTGGAGGTCTTGGGCTGAAAGATTATGCACTTCTCAGTTCCGCTGCAAGGCATCCTGCTTCTCCCCTCCTCGCCTCCAGGTTCCAGTAACAGAAAGGTCTCGGGGTAGGGACATCTGTAACAGGTGGAGGCGGATCGGAGGCGTCAACTCCAGCGCAGGCCTCCTCCAGCTGGAACTGGATGATATCCAGTGAAATATGGGAGCTCTGTTCCAAGGGATGCCCAAAAAAGGCGCGGGGATAGGAGCGCTGCAACTCCCACCTTCACCGAACACGCTCCTCCAGGGGCGGCCTGACTGTAGCAAAGCTCCAAAATTGGCAACCTGGGCCTCGCAGCCGCCTTTTTTTAGCCTACATTCCCCAAACCAGAGAAGAGGCGGGTGACTAAAAATGCAAATTGGAGCGGGGGCGTCAGCAGGCCGGCCCGTGGGTGTGGGGCGTCTGGCTTGGGGAGACCCCGCGACCTCAGGTGCCCTCGGCGATATCAGCGGTGGACGCAGAGCGCCGCGAGGGCGCTCGGAAAAGCCGCTCCCCGCCGAGCGGCTGCCTCCGCTTCCGCCTCCCCGGCGGCGGCGGCGGCGGCGGCGGCGGCGGCGGCGGCGGGACAATGCGCGCCCTCTTTTCCGCCGTGGGTTAGGGAGGGGCAGCCGGATTAGGGCCCGCGCCTTCCGGCCGCCGGCCCCCATCCTCCACCTCCCCTGCGCGCCGCGCCGGCCGCACACAGGTGGCTTTCCGCTCGGGAGCTGCAGCCCCGGTACTTTTATATAACAACAGAGTTCTGCGCGCCTGGAATGCGTCTACCCGCCGCCGCCCGCCACGCCTCTATCCGGACCCCGCCGCCCGCCCCGCTCCGCCGTACCCCGGCCGAGCGCAGCTCGCTGGCCTAGCGAGCACCTCCCCAATTACCTGCTGGCTCTGCAGCGCGGCAGACACTTTCCCCAGGACTCCCAGCTCTCCTCGGGAGCAGGGGCTCCCGGCAGGCACTTCTCCTCGCCCCACACCCACCCCAGGCCTCTCCGGAGCTCGAAGTCCCGCATCGGCCCTGCACCGGTCCACGGTGTCGCCGGACGCCCCGCGCCCGCTGAACGAGGAGGCGGAGGCGGCGGGTGCTAACGAGGAGCGCAACGCGTAGGAGCGGGCGGTGCTCCGCGAGGGCCCGGCGACTCGCAGGGGAGGGGGTGCCCGGGCAGGGAAGAGGGTGACCCTGTGCGGGAAGTCGGGGGCGGGAAGGAGTCTCCCTTTTGACATGCCTCGGTCTACAGTAACCAATCGCCGAGCCCTCCAGAGCCCCCGCAGCCTGCAGGCCTTGCGGGAGGACTTCCCCAGGCTTTGCGGATGGTGGGGACAGACAGCCGGGCTCCGCGTGCCCTTGGTGCACCTCGCCCAGGCGGCCCTTCCAGGCGGGCTCCTGTGTCGGAAGCTGAGCTAGGTTGCTCAGAAATGATTAACGAGCGCTACCCGCCCCCACCCCACCCAGGGCGCAGTGGGCGGGGGCGGGGGATTTGGATCCCCTTAACAATGGTTCATAACACCCCACGCCCCCGGAGAGGAATAAAAGCATCGGACTGCCCAACGAATTTGTTCCTGCAGTCTCCACTGTTTAAAAAAATTAATTAATTAAAACGCTCTTTTTAAAGAAAAAGCTTGCTTTCTATTCTCTGGACAACCAAGCATTTGTTTGTTTGCTTGCTTAAAAATGTTTCAACAAAATCCTGGTTTGTTCAAAAGATGTTGGATTAGCATTTAACACCTCATCGGTCACTAAAGCCCGGGCAGTTCACCAGCCCCAACACAGCCTCGGCTAAAAGAACATCAGAGTAAACAGAGCTGGGCTTTTTAAGCTGGCAAACAAATGCCACACACTGCCTAAGGGGGGTGGGGGGTGGGGTTAACGTGAACTCCAGTCCAAATGAGTTTAAAGGGAATAAAAGGGAAAAAGTCAGCACAAGTTTCCCTAAAGCTAGCTTGCGCGCCCAGGCGTCGCGAACAAGGGCTTTTGTGCCTGCTAATTGCACCATTTGTGCGCAAAAGTTCCGAAGCGAAGTGTGAACTCTCAACAGAAGGAAACATGAGACAACTGAAGTGCCCTGGTTTGTGTGCCCTGCTCCTCCTCCACCACCGCCTCCTCTTCTTTCTCCTTCCTCCCGCCGAGCCCGCTGTTGCAGCTTGTTTGCACCGGGGCTTATCCGGAGCGGAAATTCCTTTCCGTTTTTGTGAATGACAAACTCATTAACAATTCATCAACACAACCTGTTCCAGCCGGCCCGTCCCCACGGCAACAGCCCCTTCCGCAGCGCGCTCATTGGCTGGCCTGGAGAATGTATCCATTGAGACGCTCGCTGTTTGTATCCATTGAGGAGCTGCCTCGCTCGGGGGGTGTGCGAGGCTTGAGTCTAAGGGAGAGTGAGCAAATCGAGGCTTGAATAGTCCTAGGAGAAAGACGCCCGGGTGGATTTGAGGTGCAGTCTTGGAGGGAGGGATTAGGAGCCGCTGGGTTTTTTTTTCTCCCCTCTGAGTAGCACGGAGTCCGAATTAATTGGATTTCATTCACCGGGGAGGAACAAAACTCTCCGGGCAGCTTCATTCAGAGAGATTCATTGACACTAAGAGCGAGCGGCTGCAGCTGGGTGCAGAGGGAACCGCCGGCTTAACTTCTGTCTCGCCTGCCCCAACCGCTAACCGGGTTTGGGAAGGGCAAGGTGGAATTCAACCCCGCTCTGAGAGCGGCGGCTTCGCGCGGCGTGCTCGGCCTATGCCTGCCCCGAGGGGCGTCTGGTAGGTACCCCGCCCTCTTCGGCAGCTCGACCCCCATGATAGATACGCTCAGACCCGTGCCCTTCGCGTCGGAAATGGCGATCAGCAAGACCGTGGCGTGGCTCAACGAGCAGCTGGAGCTGGGCAACGAGCGGCTGCTGCTGATGGACTGCCGGCCCCAGGAGCTGTACGAGTCGTCGCACATCGAGTCAGCCATCAACGTGGCCATCCCGGGGATCATGCTGCGGCGCCTGCAGAAGGGCAACCTGCCGGTACGCGCGCTCTTCACGCGCGGCGAGGACCGGGATCGCTTCACCCGGCGCTGCGGCACCGATACCGTGGTGCTCTACGACGAGAGTAGCAGCGACTGGAACGAGAATACGGGCGGCGAGTCGGTGCTCGGGCTGCTGCTCAAGAAGCTCAAGGACGAGGGCTGCCGGGCGTTCTACCTGGAAGGTACGAGCCGGGGGAGCTCCACGCGGGGGCAGGACGGGGGACACCGGGCTGCGAGCTGCAGGCGGGACGCCCGTGCTGGAAGCGCCCCTGCAGCGCTCGGCTGGCGCTTCTGAGCCGCGCTGCTGCGCCAGGGGCAGTCTGCCGGCTCCCGGCTGCGAACCTCTCTAGAGTCCCGCACCCGCGAGCCAGGCCCGCGCGGAATCGACCGGCTTCCGGCCGCAGGCACTAGCCGGTTCTTTCTAACTAGGTCTCCTTCCTACCCGGGATATTCCCCACCATTCCCTGCTTTATATCGTTCGATTTTGAGTTCAGATTTTGCAGGACGGCAGAGATCGTTGGGGTGCACATTGACCCCTTCTAGCCCTTCAAGATATTCGGAAAAGTTGCCATTTTGTGCATTTCCGGATTCGGAAGAATAAAGGTTCCCAGGGGAGGCGGGCCCGTTCGTTCTGTTCCCAAGGGTGCACACTTCAGTGTCTTTCTCTTGTATCTGGCTCTGTGTGCAGGGCGGCTGGAAGGGTTCTGTGGTGTGTTTCTGCGTGAGGCTGCGGCTCTCAAAGCTGTGAAAACTACTACGGGATCTCGGGTTACATGATTGCTTTTCTCGTCCTGGCAGGTGGTTTCAGTAAGTTCCAAGCCGAGTTCGCTCTGCACTGCGAGACCAATCTAGACGGCTCGTGTAGCAGCAGCTCGCCACCGTTGCCAGTGCTGGGGCTCGGGGGCCTGCGGATCAGCTCCGACTCCTCCTCGGACATTGAGTCTGACCTTGACCGAGACCCCAGTAGTGCAACGGACTCGGATGGCAGCCCGCTGTCCAACAGCCAGCCTTCTTTCCCCGTGGAGATCTTGCCCTTCCTCTATTTGGGCTGTGCCAAGGACTCCACCAACCTGGACGTGTTGGAGGAGTTCGGCATCAAGTACATCTTGAACGTCACCCCCAATTTGCCGAATCTCTTTGAGAACGCGGGAGAGTTCAAATACAAGCAGATCCCCATCTCGGATCACTGGAGCCAAAACCTGTCCCAGTTTTTTCCTGAGGCCATTTCTTTCATAGGTGAGACTAATTAACAGTCCTCGCTCAGACTTTTAAATGCAAAATTCCTAACCTTTCCTAGAGTTCAAGCCGTTCATCTTTCTTGCTGCTTCTAATTTGTGGGGCTGCCGGTCTCTGATGTTCCAAGGGCGTTCTTAATTCTGGTTTATCTTCTTGCTAAGAAAAAGTGCCTTTTGACAAGGCTGCAGACCTCAGGTGTATTTGAAATGCTGTCTGCTGCTTGGCTCTGAACTCAGTCATTTGAAAGGGAGACCATTCGTAAGTAGACAACAGAATTTTCCCACAATCTTTGGACTAGAGGAGGGCCAGATAATAGTACTCAAGGTAGACAGGAATTCTAGCATGACTTTGTAATTTTAAAAGACCTGGGAGTTGATTGAGAATACGAAGTTAGGCGTTGGAAAGCCCTGTGAATGCTAGATGTTGTAATCCAGCTGAATGTTACTGTGATACCGGTTCACAGTGAGACAGTGAGGGTAACCTGAGCCCAGCAGGAAGGACTGTGGGCTGAAAGCCTGGAGAAGCGAATCTCCAGGCATTGTAATGCATTTCCTATTACAAAGGAACTCATTTTCAGGCCATGTCGACATCCTGTTCCTCCTAATGGGCTGTCCCCAGTGACTTCCCTCTCTCTTTTAAAATGCCTGAATATCTCCATTGTTAGCTGCACAACAGTTGGAGAATAATTTAATAGACCCTTGCAGTCTGCTTGTCTGTATAAAAGGCATTCACGACCATATTGCAGGGTTTCTGGTATTCACATGCTGGGGCAAAGAATGCACACATTAAGGAGTTTTTTGTTGGCGGGAACTTAATACAAAAGCTCCCTTTTCAGAAAATATCTGAAATATGTAATTGTGCCCAGTGTACATGTTTTATCACAGTGATACATTTTCTGCTGCCTGCAGGGCTCAACTGCTGCACACAATTATTTTTAACCTTTTTTATGATTATCATTATTATTCAGTTTTTAGACTGGTCGTTCACAAAGGGTGGTTTTCAGTCTGCTGACATTTTGCCTTTCTTTTTTGTGTGTTTACAGATGAAGCCCGGGGCAAAAACTGTGGTGTCTTGGTGCATTGCTTGGCTGGCATCAGCCGCTCAGTCACTGTGACTGTGGCTTATCTCATGCAGAAGCTCAACCTGTCAATGAACGATGCTTATGACATTGTGAAGATGAAGAAATCCAACATCTCCCCCAACTTCAACTTCATGGGCCAGCTGCTGGACTTCGAGAGGACGCTGGGACTCAGCAGCCCCTGTGACAACCGGGTCCCAGCACAGCAGCTCTATTTCACCACGCCCTCCAACCAGAATGTCTACCAGGTGGACTCCCTGCAATCCACGTGAAAGGCCCCACACTGGGATGTGTCCGTTCTTCAGCAGTTTCTCTTAGCAGCATCAGTTGGGCTGCTTTCTTTGTATGTGGCCCAGGTGTCAACATGACACCAGCTGTCTGTATTAGACAAGGTTACCACGTGTGGAATTGGTTATTCCAAAGGGAGAGATTTGCTCCATTCTCGTTGGAAGAACAGGACCTGCTGTATAGATACAGGCAGTAGGTTTGCTCCACACCCGAGTGTACAGCCTACCCCTGCAGGGACTGGGATTCGAGAACTTCCAGGTATATAGGGTAGGACCAAATGGTAGGGTAGGAGCATGTGTTCTTTAGGGCCTTGTATGACTGTTTCCTTTTGCATCTGGAACTGACTCTATATTGTCTTCAGTGAAGACTGACTCAATTTTGCATATAGAGGAGCCAAAGAGAGGTTTCAGCTCTGTATTTGTAGTATCAGTTTGCAAAAAAAAAAGAAAATAAATAAATAATCAATCAAATGAATCTGATACTCCATTTGATTATTGTAAATATTTGATCTTAAATCATTTGACAGTGTTTGTTTGAACTGTGTTTGTTTTTCCTTTGATGGGTTTAAAAGAAATCGTCCAAAGGGAGAAAGAGCAGTATGCCACTTCTTAAAACGATTGAAACTTTTGCTCTTTTCTAATCCAAAGGATATATTTGCAGCATGCTCGACTTTACCAATTCTGAATGACGTTTTCATGGACACTTATGATCACAGAGACCTTGTTATGGTGCAGTCTCCAGTGTCTTTCATATATCTTCCTTGTGACCTTTTTTTTTTCTCTTAATGTAGTTTG